ATATATATATATATGTATGTATGTATGTATGAACGTTTGATTGTAAGAAATTGTATTAAATAATTAACCGACCGACTTATATTTAAAGAACTTACTTATTATCTGTTATTGTTGTGTGTGTGTATATTATTTCCATCACTGGACAAAACGTAAAGGTCGATCGATTGTGATTCGTGAAATGAAATCATTTTTTAAAAAAAAATACTGCGATGAAATAATACTAATGTGACAATTATTTGTTTGTTTTTTTCAAATTCGAATATAATCTACGACATTGTTCTTTTCATTCGTTCAAATGTAAATTACCATTAAGATTTTTATCTCTTGTGTCTTTTTATTATTTTATTTTTGTGTCTTTGTCTCTTCTTTACATTATTGAATTAGGATGAATCCTATTAAAAGTTAAAAATAAAAATATAATATATAGATCGTCGAACGAATTATGTATATTTACCACCGACGTGGATAAATTATTGTCTTTTTCTTTTCTTTTTAAACAAACATTATTAGAGTCCTGTGTGTGTATGTATACGTAAAATGCTCTTAGATAAATTATTCACGAGAACCGTTGTATTTTTACGAATATTTTTATAAGCGTGCGTGTTTCTCACTCACATTATCCAGATATTCTGAGAAGAAGAAAAAAAAAAAAGAAAAAAAAAAGAATTAAAATAATTTCGTTGGCTGGGAAAAGGGAAAGCGTCCTTTTTCAATCTTTTCAACGGCTAACGGACTAATAGGAAAAATAGTAGGGAAATCTAACAAAAAGAAAGAAATTCAAGATCGTTATGACGAAAAATTATAGAACAAGTTAGAAAAAAGAAAAAAAAAAGAAATTAATAGTCGACGAAGCTTCGTTTTTTCTTCTTTTTGTTATTATTAATATTATTCTTATTATTATTATTATTATTGAATATTACTATTACAATTAAATCTTATTATCGATCGTGATTAAAGATTTGACTTATCTTTTCGAGAATCGATTATTCTCAAATAAACAAATCGGCCATGGTGCTGCCTTTATGTAAATAAAACATTATCACAATTAGCTGAAAATTATATTTAATTTTGTTTTGTTTTTTTTCTAACGAAAATACCTCATTCATAGTTTTGCATCGGGAACATAGAAAGAAAAAAAAAGAGAAAAGAAGGTAAGTGTATTTATTTAAATATTTTAAATTGTATTGGATGAAAAAAAACAAGATGGCGTTTTATTGATCCTTAAGAATTATTTATATTTATTCACAGAGTACTATTACGTAACAACAAGGGGAAAAAATAGATAGATAGATAGATAGATAGATAGATAGAAAGAGAAAGAGAGAAATACTGAATCAAATAGATGCATCTGTCATATATGGTATATACGATTCGACATGTCGATTAAGGCATCCATTTGTGGCAATACAATGGTGTAATACTTATCGTTGTTAAAAAGAGAAAACAAAAAGATGATTGTATATATCGTTTGAATGTCGTTGATCGAACTTTTGATTTTACTTTTTTGTTTTTTGCAAATATAGAATATATATATATGTTTGTGTGTATATATAATAAATTCGATGTTTTTTAAAAAGCGTACAAAATGTCGCGAATTTTTGTGCCGTTTAAAATTTTAATATGGCGTATATGTGTGTGTGTGCTTATATGTAAATATTATAAATCGAACGAAAAATAGTTTTTGAGATGAAACGCTTAGAAAAAATATAAGTCTTCAAGTTTCCGAACAAATTTTACAATTTTGATTTTTGTAATATACGAAGCGTTCGATTAGAAGACAGTCGTTAATAATAATAATAATTATAATAATAATATAATAATAATAATAATAATAATAATATTTATGCTCTTCTTCTTTATAGTCGTTCATATAAATTATCGCGGTGATTTTTTATTTTTTTTTTTTAAATGTGCGTTTATTAGCTTGGAAAATATATTTGTCAAGTTAGTTGAGAGTAAAGAAAAATGTGCGAGTACGTATTTATTGTTAACAACAATTTTTCATACGCAAAACAACGCACTCATCACAATTTTCTTTACGTCGAATCCTTTCTTCTCATTTTTAATTTCATTCGAAGACATCTTTAGACCGCTCATAGATTGGGTTTTTTAAACAATGATTTCGAAGTTTCTAATCTTTTTAACATATTGGGTCGACATACGTACATGCATACATACATACATACGAGCGAAATAGTATGGCAAATTATTAAGAACAAAAAATATATATATATATATATATATATGAAACCATTTGACAATAAAGCATATGGATTACATTTTGGATTCATTCGTCACCGATTTTCTCTTTTCGTTACACAATTTTTTTTTTTTCTTTTCTTCTTCTTCTTTTTATGGATAATACTTTGAAAACGTATATCATATCAAATTGATATTAAATTCAATAAAATAATACAAGTCAAGTGTAAATCTACATATATAGAGGGATATAATATACAGAGTCATTTTCAAAACGAATAACTTTACTTATGTCCCGACTTATAGTAATACTTTTTCTTCTTTTTTTTTTCTTCTTCTTCTTCTACTTCTTCAATTAAATAAGTATGACGATTAAAAGAACATTCGTTGGACGTATATATACATACATCTACTGTACAACATACATACAATACTTATATACGAATAACGTTCAATAAGCAACGCGGTTTATATTAAATTATTAATAGAAATAAACTTGTGTGTGTGTGTTACTTATTAATCATTACGATGACCACAGTGTAAAAATGAAAAGGGAAGACAATTCACGAAGATATATGTATATCAGTACAGTCGTACACAAATGATGAGATAGATACTCGATTTCTCATCTATATCCTCATGATAAAATTACACCTTCGAGTATCATAAATATTGTATCTTTCTAATTTGTATAAATCTATAATAAATATCTATCACAAAGATTGACCTAATATATACGTATAGATGACTTTCAAAGAATTTATGATTCTTTCTCTTAACCAAGTCATTATACAAAGTATATGTGTGTTTTACGTGTAACCATAATCTCATGCAAGTAACAGCAGAGTACGAATTCTCTTAAAAGTTAAATATTTACAATATGTGTCTCTTCATTGCTGCTAATTTACTTGCATATCCTTATAACCGCACAGATAACGACCAGCAGTTACTTCGATAATACATTATTATACATATAATGTAATATCCTTAGTGCGAATTATTTTGATCTTTTTCATAAATTCTTAATCATACTTATCAATACATTGACGTTCTATCTAAGATGACACACACCAAATAGCATTATACAAGAGAGTCGTAAGTATTAAAAATACTTTTTCTGTTGCATATAGACAAGTTTCATCTTCTGCCATTCTCACAGGTTTCCTTTGCTATCATTTTTTTTTTTTTTAATATTGTTTGTTGTTTTTTTCTGACTCGTATCTTCAAACAATGAAGCACCTGTGTAAAACGTTTTTTATTATTTAAGGCCTTTTGCTATAATTGTCCGTATAGAATGAAACTTCATTCTTTGTTTATACAGCACACGCTTTATCTGAGTGAATATATCGTTCATGATTTGTATAACGTATTAATGGATCAGCAACGTTCACAGCTGCAGTTTCTTCTTCGTTATTGACCGAACAAGTTACCATTTCTTCTAAAATATTAAAAATAACAACAATTATTTTCTTGGTCGATTAATTCATTCATTCATTCATTAACTTAATTCAAAATTAATTTCTATTTCACTAACCGGGTAAACAAAATTGTAATTGATCGTTGCTAGGATTAGTGCTATCACCAGTACCACTATCTTTACTGTGCTGTGAGCTCGTATCCAAATACATGTGAGTCTGATTTTCTGGCGCCGTTGATATTACCGTTGTTGGTGATTGTTGTGTGTTAGTATTGCGCGTATTGTTTAAACGTTTTCTCGTCTGATAAATTATTACTACCCAAACTACCGATGTACCAACGGCACAACATACAATTGTGATTATTATTAATCCCAATATATTATCTTCGTTTACGATTGTCGTTGGAGCTGATAGAGAAAGAAAATAAATGAAAAATTACATTTTTTATTTGATTTTATTTAATTTTATTTTATTATATTAACCTGGATTTACTGTAAGATGAGATGCACCAACAACACTTCCCAACGAATTACTCATTTCGCATTCGTAACTTCCTGCATCGTTACTCATAGTATTAACTATTATTAATAATTGATTTTCTGCCGTAAAAAAATGACGTTCAGTTATTTGCAGTGGACTACCATTTTTACGCCACATTAATTTGGGACGCGGTGAACCACTTGCCATACATTCCAATACAATAGAACCACCTATCATTATTTCTTTATTCTCCATTGGCTTTACAAATGACGGTACCTCTATAAATAGATCATTGATACGTTTGAAACGAAATGTGTGCAGTGATGAAATATAGCTATTTTAATTAAATGGATCAATGATGAAACTCACCCAATATAGTAAGAGTCGCATTGGCCACGATAAGTCCAGCTAAATTTTGAGCAGTACAGGAATAAACTCCGGTATCGGCCATTTTTACATCTACAATAAAAAGTACATCGTCCGTAGGCATCATATGCATTCTCCTTTCCCTTGCAGCCGGGAAATCATTTCCACCATCTTTTTGCCAAGCTATCTGGGGTGATGGTTGACCTTCTGCTGAACATTCGAGACGTGCCGTACTTCCAGCAGTTACTCGAATGTCACGAGGTATTTTAGAAAACGATGGATATACTGTAAATGTAATATATTATTGGCACATTGACATTTATTGATCTTTGTTAATTTAATAATTAACATCGATATCTTTCAACGTACTTAGAACACTTAATTTGGCCTTAGAAGAATATGTTGTTCCATAAGTATTAGAGACCATACATTGATACTTTCCAGCATTAGCATGAGTCACATTAATTAATTGCAAAACAGATGACGCATTAGTTACACCACCTTCCAACGTGCGAATGTCTGTTTGTAAATTAGGATTATTTAATTCCACGTTATCTCGTTTCCAAATGAATTTGATCGGTGCATCAGCTGTACTTGTTGCACGACATATCAGAGTCACGTTGTCACCTTTAACACGCTTTTGATCTGAAGGTTCTTCTATTATTCTTGGTTTTGGATATTCATCTGGAGAGAAATTATTTTTGTTAAGAATAGAGAAATAAAATTAAAATTATATAATTTTTAATTATGTTGTGTGAAACTATTACTAACCACATGTGAAATTTGTATGATGCAATTGAGCTAATGGTTTATCTTGCAACCAATGTGGATAGCCACAATGAGCTTCCGTATCTTCGAATCTGTGTGTTCCTATCCATGTACTAAACCAATGTAATCCACAGTCACAGACCAATGATCCTGAAAAATCGATAAATTATGTTTTTAAATTGAATATAAAAATATAATGTTCAAATATTAATTCGAAATATTCCTTACGTGAATTTAATTTCAATTTTTTTAAATCCGGCATCGTGATAAATGCATTTTCTTGAATACTAGTTATATCATTCCCACTCAAGTCGAGTTCAGTAACATGACTTAAACCGATGAAAGCATTTCTATTAACAGATTTGATTTTATTATGCGCCAGTCCTAACTTCCATAAATTACTTAGTGGACTAAAAGCTCCGTTAAAATCTTCTACCATGTAGGATATTTTGTTGGAATTAAGATCTCTGTAATTGAAAAACAAATTAAATAGTAACAAAAAAAATTTATAAATACGTAACAAACAGTTAACCCCTTGCATTTAACGTATTGAACTGTGTGTCATATTCAGTGTTATATTGCATTCTTCTTACGTTTCCCCCCTGAAGCATATCACGAGTCTTACACTTTGTTATATTGCAAAAGGTTAAACATTTTAAAATAATTAGTTGCATACAAAACTTGTAGCTTTGGGGTAGGGTTGAATGTTCCATCCGATATATATATAATTTGATTGTGATCCATTTTAAGCCTTTCTAATTTATCCAAATGATCAAACGTGTCTCGTTCTATAGAAGTTAATATATTATATGATAAATCCCTGAAACAAAAAATAGAATTAAGTTACTTTCTTCAATGTAATTATCATTTATAAAAACAATAATATATACAAAAATAATTTTACTAACAATTCAGTAATATCTCCACAGTTGTCCCACGCTTGCGATTCAATCCTTGTAATATGATTATGAGATAAAGTCAACTTTCTCAAATTTTCTAATCCAAACAAACCACCTTTCTTTACAATGGTCAACATGTTGAAATCAAGTTGAAGAAGGATAAGATTTTTAAGAGGCCAAAATGCACCATCGCTTAACGTGCTTATTTTGTTTCTTTTCAAGCGTAATTCTTCTAAATTTGTTAAACCCTTAAGACTTAATACTTGCATTTTTTGTATCTCATTTCTATTCAATTCTCTATTACATAAATTTTATATTTTTATTTATACGACATCAACAAATGTAATATATAACGATATAAATGAATTCAGATAGATACAAAGAACTTACAATATTTTCAATTTTCCAAGATTGCTGAAAAGTACTGTAGAAAGACTTTGCACAGATGATGTGTCCATCAATTGCACAAGATTATTTCTATTTAAACGGAGTTCCTCTAACGAAGTTAAATTATCCAAACTACCATTTTCGATGATGTATATTTGATTCATATTTAAATTTCTGAAAAAATAAAGTTTGATATTTTTTATAACACGTAAAATATTAATAAGATTTAACATTTTTTAAATTTGATAATAAAATGCAAAGACACATACAAATGCATAATTTTATTTGGTGCAAGAAACGAACCACGTCGTAAAAAAGTTATTTTATTTAAACTCAAATCCAATGTTTGAAGTTCCGATAAAACAGCTAAGGCACTTCCATTAATAGTAGTTATTTCATTGTGCGATCTGAAATAAAATATTAAATATTTAATTTGACAATATCATAGAAGAAACATATCATTCTATAAAAACATAATAATACGTACAAACTGAGATGCGTTAAATTTTTAACGAATGAAAGATCAGGTATTTGCGTTAATTGATTCTTATTCGCTTTAAGTCCTATCAATTTGGTTGCATCCGATAAACCGATAGTAAAATTATTTCCCAATTTATTAGCACTCATGTCCCTGAAAAATAATTTTCTTAGTAAACCAATTATCGTGGATGCATAATCATACATAAACATGCATAATAATACAGTAGTATTGGTATTCTATTATTTGATAAGTGAAGCTTAGTTCTTTGAGTCAAAGAACAAAACTTCGAGTTGTTTATATTATTGTCATTTAAACATCTGAAAAGAAAAAAAACTAATACCATTTAAAGAACATTGCGATTACATAAAAACTAACTTAAGAAACCTAGGAGCATGCCTATATATCTATGTTAAGCCTTTCTTTTCTGAGAAGGGCTGATATCCTTAAATGCCGACCATTAGAAGCTAAAACTGGTTAGCCTTCAAGCATAAGACTTTATATGGTAACAGTGAGATCAAACTAGCTAACAGGAATACAAATGGCATTAAACGTGCCTTTGCAATAGTCCCAACTATACACGATATCCTGTAACTAGTGGTTCAAGCTCACTTTGGTAATTCTATATAAAAAACTAACATGTAGAATCAAATTTGTTCATATAAGGCTCTTTGTTTTTGAGAAAAATAAGTTTGAACATTTGTCGAGTTCTCATGCACTTGACCAAGTTTGGAATCCTAGAAACTAAAAGCCTTGTTTGAGAAGCACAAGAGAGTAAAATTGATACAAGAAATATCATCCTATTAACAATGTTTTTAAACATATTAAGAAATATAAAATTGTTCTCCTAAATATAACAAAAAGTAAGATAACAAAATCCATCTAACTGAAATCAAATCTAGTGCATGGGTATACTACAAATTTGTTTCAAATTATTAAGTTATATATTAAAAGCAAAACATTATATGAACAAATTTAATTTTACAATTTCAATTTAATTTTTCATGTAAAATCATCTCGCTTGTACCATCAGTTACAGGACAACCTGTAATACTTAACTATTTAGTTTATAATGTTACATAATATTTTCAAACTCTAATTATAAAGTTAAATATATTATTCTAATAACAAAGTTCAATTCAGATATGCATAAAAAATATATAAACATATCATTATAAACAAATTATTGGAAAATAACTCTTTCTATTTTCAAATATGCATTTTAGTATCAAAAACAATCAGAAATCTTAACGTCATACTGATAATACTGTGATAGTGATATCGATATCGGAAGAAAGTCGATATATATATATAGATATATGCACGCGATAGACATTGGAAATATGAATAAAATTGTTCGGGAGGGAAGGGGATATAAAACAACAATGAGTAAAAAAAGGAAATAAAAGAAGTTAAATAAAAAGCGACCAACAATTGAACAAACGAAGAAAAGAAAGAAATAAGGATTATTTGTTTACTCACAAGTTTTCGGTCCATGGTGGTAAACCGCTGGGTGCCTCGATTAATTGCAAATTATTACATATAACAACGTTTCCAATGCAACCACATCCATCGGGACACTTATTACTTTTTTCATTTGATATGATCGACCGATCATCGGCCATCACCAAGTTCAACGTTAATAGAATCCATAAGAATAAGAATTTCACTTTAATCGAACGATTTATTTTCGATCGTAAACGAGAACGTTCAACGAGAACAATCTTTTCGATCTCCGACATTATTTTTCGAATCGTATTAATTTCACAACACTATCCTTGTTTTATATTATTTTCCTTATTATTTTTCTATTGAATATTTCAATCGAGTATCAGAGATTACCGCCATAACGATAAGTAAATCTCAACGGCACTCCTTTCCACGGGAATTACCATAATAACGATAAAGTTTAATATCCACGGTTCAATCGATTCAAAACAAACTTCGTCGACACTCGGATTCATGCATCATGATGACGCCTACACGACATGACGACTACGCGACGAACAAGACGACGACTATGTGTGTATGAAAGAGAAAAAGAGAAAGATAGAGATAGATAAATACGATCCAACGTTGCCAGATAATTTAGATGAAAAATTATCGAGTTCGTTAGGAAGAGGCGGAGACGCCAAGAGAATGCTTCTTTTTTTATCCTTTTTTTGATTCCACGCACATTTCAGTCCCATCGAACTTGTTTTAATTTCGAGTATCGCTACATAGATGACGCGTCAATAGGTCGCGACGGAACTCGAATCAAATTACACAGCCAATGAGAGCACAGGCGTTCGTATCTATCGATTAATCGATAAATATCGTATATTGGCGCGAGAATTTATTTTATTTTGAGCTAGGAAAAAATTGAAAAGTTTGTTTAATATTTTTATTGTTAAAGTATGTAATATATATATATTTATTTATTTGTGTTTCCTTTTTGATGGAAACTTTCTCGTCACACACACAAGTTTCTTAATATATAAGAAGTTAGTATAGTGTTTGATCTTAATTATTATTAAGGTACGAAAAATTTGATATGGTTTCTTTCAATATGTAACCCATATCGCATTGTATGTATGTGTGCATGTTATTTCGTATATAACGTTAATAACAAAAGTCTCCCTTTAAAAAGTCCCCGTTTTATTGTTAATTAACCATATATTGTTATACGGTTATAACAACAGCTCTGTGAAGACAAGAACCTTGGTAACCTTCTCGTAAACCTGGCCATAATACCGATTTTATTCTCGTTCCATTTGGATTCGGAGAACTGTGATGCCTTGAATGAACTTCCCTTCGAAATTCGATATCCTGTGCCACGTCCAATACCAGGGGCGTACCACGGGCCAAACAAACCCATGCTAAGCTAGCGCACATGGAAGTATATCTTTTTATTTCCATGCATTCTTTTAAACAGGGTAAATCGTAGAGCGTTCTTTCCAGTTGATTGATAACTTGTTCAGCTACTTCCTGTATACCACTATGTGCACCACTGGTAGCTAATTGTCTTATTATACATTCCTCGATATTTGCTACTGATGGTACACCGCTAGTTGTACCATTTAAAATATTCAATGCTTCTATACGTCTGTATGTTTGGATCATTCCAGCTAACCTCCATGATAACTATAAATGATGATTAATAATCATTACTGTATATGCGTATCGTTTTGTTAGTATGTATGATAACTTACCACGACTACAGAATAAAGTATCTTAGCTTTTAATTCAGGTGCATCATCAAGAGGACGTAAAGTGTCTAGAGCATCAAGAGTATGTAAATGTGCCTGTGCATACAACATCCCATATCGTTTGGATAAACGTTCAACCGGTAAATCGTCGGAAATCGACACTTGAAAGTTTTCTTCCGTTTTGAAAAGTTCATGTCTTTTGTTTGCAACTACTACTACCGGTTCCGGTGTTCGACTTTCGTCAGTATGATATCCAGTACTACAAGATTCTTCTTCATACTCGTTCTCATAATGTATTGGTGAATGATATATCTGAACACAAGGACAATTATTTTAATAAACGTTATTTTACAAAAGTTTTTTTCTTTTTGTGAGAAGAGAGGGTTTAATTGAAGACCGACCTTCTCCGTCGATGAACCCTCGTCACAGATAAGTTGTAAAATTAAAGAACAACCATTAGAAAATTGTAATAGATTAGCTGCCAATGTTGGATTTTTAATCCCAGCTAAACCAATAGATTTTCTCAAAGCCGTCCATTGTCTTAAAGCTTCTTTATCGTGTTCAACTCGACGTTTTAACTCTACCAACAAACTTTCCAGATTGTACGGATTACCAGCTTTCTCCAATGTATTCAATAGGCTTTGGTTGTCTATTAATCTCTGTTGAACTTCACTATACTTCAGCGAAAGTTGGCGCTGGTGCGATGCAGCTTGGACGCTTTGATCCACTGGAAGATAAAACGTTAATCATGTATATGTATATATAGATATATATTATATACGTGTATATATATATATATATATATATATATACACGTATATTTCCTGTTTATATTAGAACCGAACGTACAACACTCTCGTTTCTTAATTTGCATGAAGAAAATGCTATTAATTTGACTTATAATTTGATACCTTTATGAACTCCCGTATTTTTTCCAAAACTTTCTAATTTGTGAAGTGCGAGTTTGTACGCTTCGATACGTGACTCGAGTTGCTCTCTAAGAGCAACAGGAAGTGGTACCAAATTCGAATTAGTTGAATTAGCTGAACTTTCCAAATTAGAAGATACTAAACCATGTTTCCCAAGTCCTTCGACTGCTCTTTCAATAGCTTTTTTTCTCGACATCAATATATTCTTCGTATTAGGTGACAATCTATTTAAAGACGTCAACAATTTACACCAAATCCTTGGGCGTACATGATCCTGATTATTCGACAATAATTGTACCACCCTCCAAAGAACTTGTTCTATTCTTAGGATCTTCGTATCAGTGATATTTAATTCTACGAGTCTACAATAAAGAGCTTCGAGCAAAGTTAAGCTGTGTGGTAAAGTTTCGATCAACAAATCTATTGGAATGTCCGGTAAAGCTGTTTTTAAAGTATACTGCGGTAATTTCATCAGAAATGCTGCTGCTTCACGAAATTGTCTACCTTCGTAAAGTCGAAGTAATCTAAAGAAAAAAAATAAAAGGAAAATTTATATATAGAATTTGTTTTTTAAATTGTTTTCTATACACATCTTTCGCTTTCTGTCGGTAACAAAGATATTTATGTTAACGGTAACAATGAATGCACTTCGCGTAGATTCTTTTTTATTTGAAATTCTATTACTCGATTACCTTCTCAAGGCCATACGTGGATTTGCTCCTTCATTTTCCAATATTCCTACATAATCTATTTGAACTTGAGAATTCGGTCTCCATATTAATTTTTGAATCGGATTTCTTGGTCTTTCTGGTCTTATTCTTTCACAAGAATTTAATCCACTTGGTAGGCTCGCTCGTCTATTCATTTTTCATTCGTATATTTTTTATCATTTACATCATTGTTCATATACATATAGAAAATGATTTTATAAATCGTAAGCAACACACGAGTAAAATACATAAGGAATGTTATTAATATAAATCATTCGTTTGAAAATCATGTTCTTGTATTCGATAAAAATCGATTATTAAGTTATACGATCGTTAATTTTTTTTCATGAACCAATCATCGTAATACGTAAGTTGACCTATAGCTGCAGGGCAGACGATCCACTTTTTAAAAAACAGACCAATCAGCGGTCCGGAATTGTTCGATCGAGAGTTTCCTTGTTTTTTTTTCTTTCTTTCTTTCTCCCTTTTTCTTTTTTCCTACAAATCGATCGTTTGAAATAAATGATATTTAGTATTTATTATACATGAGAAACATTAACAATTGTCTACAATTAAAAGTAGACAAAAATAAAATTATATTTTAGTGGCAAATTTGAATTGATCTTGACAAACTTTCCGCGCGAAACGAAAGCGTTATTTAAAATTTCAATTTCCTTGAAATCTACCAACTTAGAATTAAACTTTAAAATATATGTAAATAAGAATAAATGAATGCATAAATAAATAATAAAGAATTCGTTTAACGATAGAGAATATTCACTTTCGTATAAAAATGTTCACACACGCACGATTGCACACCGTTGTGGTTTCAGGAGATCCCGAAGTTGTTGCATATTTATATACACATTTAAATAAATAATTCACAGAAAATTATATGAACGATTCGAATATATATATATTGAGCTGAAGTATTTTAAATAGCGTTTCGTTTTTACTAATCGCGGATGATCCTCGAATGATCGAGTCAGACGTTCGAGTCTACGAAGAACCGAATAACAAAATTCTCATCTCCAAGTGTTCGAAAGTGCACGAAACCTCGTTTGGACCGGTGATGTGAAATGATATCGCGTGGTGGGAAGAAGATCGTGAACGAACAAGTTAAAGAAAAAAAGATAAGTGAAAGAGAAAGATGTTAAGAAAGAGTGAGTGTGAGAGAAAAAGATAACAAGGAAGCGTAAGATAGAATATATATGTCTGACAAAGAAAAAAGAGGAAAAAAAGGATGAGATGGAAAGGGACCGAAGTCTTCGAACATCTTACATTTTTTCTTAACGATAAATACTCGTAAATATTTTTTATAAATCAATGACCAAAATAATATAAATTATCTTCCAAAATTTGTTTAAATCAATGTGTATAAATTATTCACTGTTTAAAATCGATATATTTAAATTACAAATTTGTGCATTAGCATATTCAACCAATTGTGGAAAATAATATCATAATACTATTTTAAATCATTTCATTTACATAAATTAATTTATATTTTATTAGTTTGTTTTACCTCACAAATTTTAAATCGATTAATAATTTTTCTTTAAATACATCTTATTGGAATATGATTGAAAAATAAAACAATGGATCTGATTGGTTGAAATATACGAGGCGATTGGTTTAGCGGGAACATTTCAAAATTTGAATATCACGATGGTGATTTTGTGAATCTGATTTAGAGATCAAAAAGGAATCTGACGAAGATGTTATGCATATATATATATATATATATATAAATTACATTTAACAAATTTTATAAGATGTCATCTTATGATCTCAGTTTGCGGGTACTTGGAATCATTGCTGGTAGAGATGTGATGGCGACCTACTAACCTGCATACCGGTATGAGACAAGTCGATGAGTGGTATAGTACTATATATATATGTATATACATATATTATAAATATATATACGTTCATACATATGAGGAAAGAAATCCGGAAACTTTCTTTCAGTATATGCTAATAACCATGAGGAATATCTCTCTTCCTGTGTGTGTTAATCTGTCAATTTCTCGAGTTGGTGGTTTCTATGATGTCTCCCTTCTTCGAGAGAGCTCTGAGAATTGGATAACTAGGTTTTATACGTTTTAAGTAGAGTCATCCGTGTTACTTCGTTATTTTTTTTTCCTTTTCTTTTTACATTATTCAAACGACGAATAATTAAAGAAGAACCTGATCACAGAAAAAAAAGAAACATCATAATAATAATAATAATAATAATAATGATGATGACGATGATAATAACAGGTGATACAGATCTACCTACTTCCGCTCCTTGAATCACCTGAAACATACCGTTCATTAACCTTTAGCTTCCGATCAATTTATTAAATGTTTTCTGTGAAAGGAACGCATTTTTATTAAACTTGCGAGATAAAATTGAGAAAACACATATTTTTATTAATTATAAATAAAAAATCAAAATTGTTTTCTCAATTTTTTATTAAAAAATGGACCAACACCATTGTCATAAGTGATCCATTGTTTAAAATGTACAATGGGGACGGGTACAAATATTCTTGTTATTCACTTTACATATGCTCGTTACGTTTCTGTAATCTTACTAACAAATAGATGTTCACAGTTTAAGAAATTTATTAAAACTCATTTTTTTCTTATATATACATTTGTGAATTCTTTTTGACGATCATATTCAATCAACAAATATAAAAGTACATCGATTTATTTCGATAATTCGATTCGCTGATAATCAATAATTTTTATTTTTACTTTAATTTTTTTAAATATCGATACAATTTTTTTGTTCCTTCTTTTTGTTTTGTTACAATATTCATTAATCGCTAAAAAATTGATTTCCAATATTGATAAGCAGAGATTTACAAAAAAAATCATTACAATTGAACAATCCATTGTCACGCATTTTCGAATGAACGGAATAATTCCAAGGAAGAGGAAAACAAAGAGGAAAAAAGGAAAAATATATCTAAGAAAAAAAAAACATAAATTATTACACATAATAATAGTCCCGTTGAAGTAAAAGTCAGATGATTTCTTTTTCTCTTTTTTTTATCCAAATTCTTTTTGTAATAATAAAATAAACACGAGAATAAAAGTTAACAGACGATTAAAAAGTCGATAAAAATTTAATATCTTTTTACATATTTCTCTATTTTTTTTTTAAATGAATGCAAACAGCCTTATTCATTTCTATCCTTCTAACACTTTAAGTGTTCTTATGAAATGTACAATTTTTCTTTTGTACCTTTTATAACTTGCATTATAGTAAAACTATATTTAATTTGCATATCGCGTGAAAAAAATTTATTTTTATTTACTCAAAGATACGAATCGACTACGAAACGTATCTTTTATATTCATATCTAATTATATATATATATATATTATATATAATTATATATAATATATAATATATATATTTATATATGTGTACCGATTGTTAATTATTTTTGTATCTAAAAAAATTATGTCATATGTTACCAAATCGAGATAGGACAACTCAATAAAAAATTTTCTACTCTATTTGCTATTAAAAACTCATGTCCAAAGTTTTTTTTGTACAATTACTTATAAATGCTGAGCCTTCGCATATAAGTATCAATTACGAAAATATATTAAATATATATTTTACTGAACGATAGATTTAAAAATTGAAATCATTACTTAAGCCTTCTATCTCTCATTTCTTCTGCCTATATATATTTTTCTTTTTTGATGAGAAATTTATTACGGGCTCTGTGTCATGTATTTTAAAGGATGGATTTTCTTTTCTTTTTTATGACTATAAAAAATTATTAGAGAGAGTATAATATATATATATATATATATATATGTATATGTATATCATTAACATTTGATTAATATTAAAGCTTTTGACTACTCTCTAACAAATAATAATAGATCAACTTAATTAAAGAATTTTGATGTGAAGTGTAGAATATTAGAGTGAGTAATTAATTACTTATAAATTTCTATTATATATTCTTTTACGCTTAATGTATTATATTTTTTAAGCTATGAGATCTGCTCATCCAATAGATTCGTTATTATTATTATTAGTTAAAATCAGGGACTATTTCAAAACGTACTTTTAATAAATTAGATTCGACCAAGCTATTATAATATTGTGGGTTTTTTGTTTAAGTATAATTTGCTTTGTTTATTTTTGAAAAAATAATAATAACGTTTACATGTTACTGCACTCGAGAGATACAAAGTTTGTGCAATTATGAAAAAAAAAAAAAAAAAAAATTGTGCAAGTATGACACTTGTATGACACTTGTATGACACAAGTATGATTTGCTATCTCTCTTTCTCTTTTATAATAACATAAATATATTTTTTTAAACTAAATTCTAGCAATGCATTTGATTCGTATTAAGTTCGATCGGATGATTCTAAAAAGGTTCTAATTTTAACTCTCTATTTCTACGATAACAGTTCTTTCTTCTCAACTATTTGATATAATCTAAAATATCTTCTTTTTAATCGTATAAACGTATGATTGGGGATTAGACATATCGATACAAACTTTTCTGTTCAAAGTTTCTCTGCCTATGTATATGTTTATTTTCTTCTTTTTTTCTTTTTTGTTTTTTCTTTTGTATATTCTTATGCAAGAAGACATAAACTCTTAAATATATATAAGATTTTATAGGAGAAGTAAATCCTACTGTGCAATGTCTTTATCAAGATATACAAACGAAAATGCGTATGCATGTTTTCTACGTGTATAAACTCTATACTAAATAAGTAAATAAAAAAAAAGAAGAAGAAATGACAAACTCTTTAAACATTATTACAAATGTTATATGTAATTTTACAAATTACGATTATTACTTCTCCTATAATATTTACGAAGAATAGAAAAATACTTATGGATAATAATTCAGTTTCTTTTTTTCTTGTGTTTTCTTTTTTCTTTTTCTTTGTTTCATTACTTTACATAATGACACACCACTTCTTTGTACCATCTTCAGTAGTATGCGTTGGTAAAAACTTATCGTTACTATCATTTATTTCACTAATATTTAATTTATCAGATTGTACCTTGTAACTTATATTTGGTGTCGAAATTTGTATTGGTTTACGTAACTCCCTAATAATATCCATTGATGTATTCAATAAACTACTTTGTTCCGTTTTTTGTTTCTTTAGAGTAGTATTTGACTCTGGAGAATCTCCAAATTTACGTTTTCCTTCTACAAAACTACCGTTACTGGACATTACGTCTGATAATCCTGTACTGTAACGTAAAATTTTTGTATTTGTCGTTTCTCTTTGTGGTGACTGTGACATGGATATATTTGTTGACTGACTATTATTTGGAGAAACCCAGAAATCATATGATGACGAATGCCGAAATCTATCAATCGCAGATCTTCCAGAAATATTTCGCAAAGTTTTACCAAAAGTATTGCTTGCAGATAAGTTGGATATATTATCATCACTTTCGCATACTTCAACGTGCTTTAATTTTTCTTTAAGACAATCGTTTAATTTAATTTGTACGTCTTTCAATGTCACAGATGCATCATAGTTAATACCTAAGATTTCGTTCTTTGCATTAAGCTCAGAGTTTTCTCTCTCTTTCTGAGTTTCCTGCTGACTCGGAGGTTCAGATGCCTCGGATAATTCAGATGTTACAGATTCTACTATGTCTACGGAACAACTTTCCGTTCCTGCTTCCGATTCAGTTTGAGAACTTTTCTTTTCTTTTACATCGTCATTTACTACCTGTATTACAGGTAATTCTTCCAATTCATTTTCATCGTTCATTATACTAATAGTTGATGTAGTGTCAGGTGATTTTGCAGGACTATCATCCAATCGCAAATGTATTTGCATCTCGTCTTGCTCTTTTTCGTCACATTCTTTGTTATTCTCTTCCAAATGATCTTTCTTTTCGTTTTCTTTATCCTGCGATTTAATAGTTTCATTTTTCGTAGACGTTGTTGTATTTTCATCTATACTCTCGGCAGTCTTTTTCTCGATATTTGTATTAGTTGTAGAATCTTGTTCATCTGTTGTATGATTAGCATTACTGTCTTTGGTTGCAGCTTCTTCTTTCTTGTTATCTACATCATTCACGGTTTCCTCCTTATCATCTTTCTCTATAGATATACTACTACTTGTCGATTCCGCTTCCTCTAACTTAGATTGCATCTTTTGCTTTACTAGTCGCAAATGCTGAAGCGTACTTTGCACTTTAACTTCTTTAACTGTATCTTTAGCTAAATTCTTTGTCAACTGATTCAGGCTATTTGCTGTATTATGAAGTTTATTCTGAAACAAAATATATTATTATTATTATTATACATTTCTTTAAATTACAGATACAAATAGAGTCTTCTGTAAGTGGTGGTACAAACGAGCAGGAGCTGATTCTACATGAAAAACTAAGTCGAAAATATAGAATCAATTTTATTGATATGAGGTTCTGTTTTTAAGAAAAATAAGTTTAAAAATTTGTCGAGTACTCCTGCTTACTTGTACCACCAGTTACAGGATAGCCTGTATATTTAAGTATACAAATTGATTTGTTTTTCCTCTTAGAAAACATCTACATTTTTTCACTGTAGAATGTTATCAGGAGATGTGGTTGAAAATAAAAATCAAGGTCCCCCATCAAAGGAAACAATTAAAATTAACTGAATTTGATAAAACTCAACAACGTTGTATGTCGCACAAAGTAAAATTAAATTTAAAATTACTTACTTTTTTAGCAGAACTTGGAAGAACTTTTTTCTGAATATTACTCAGCTTTGGTCTGTAAAAAAATAAATGAACTCTTATGCCAATAGAGACATATCATACATTTAATACCTTTATACACCATAAATTGTCAAACAAATGCTGGAGGTGATGAGAGGGAAACATATTTACAAATCCTTATAGAAATTAAATTAAATTGTTTAAGTATATATCATAATTATAATCTCATGTAAAGTTAACAAAACCAACCGAAATATGTATAATCTCAAGACTAATTACAAGATATCAATTGGAGTTAATTTATAAAGCATGCAATTTGATTTAATTCAATTTCCATAATTTTGTACCAATCACTCAACTCCGATATCTTCAAGCAAGATTATTATTAGAATATCAAATGTTCGTACTCAGTATAAATGTTAATACGATAACACATATATACATGATATCTAATTTAAAGTTCGTATCGATAAAGCTAAGCATTGACAAGTTCTAACAGTAATATCCAATTTGTTGGAAAAATACTATTAAACTATAAACATTATCAGATTATGTTACATAGAAAAATCTAAAGATAATTACTAAGTGTAGAGTCGGTTTCAATTGGTGTCAATTGATAAACAAATTGAATGCGCTAAGAAAGTAACAAGAATGTAACTCGAAGAATAAACTCACTTTATTGCATTTTATTAATTTTACAAACCTGCTCGAATAGTCCGACTCGCGCTGTTTCTCGGATTCGGAGGTTTTAGACGACGCGGTCGTTGGCTTGATTCTCCGAACGCAAGAATTCCTCTCATCGCCCCCAGGGGCCGCCTTCTTTGGCGTCTTACCCATGGCTTATGGTTAATGTTTTTATATCCTCTATAACTCTCTGCGTATCCCTAATTAGTCGTCCTACAAAGATATCTATTTCAGACCCTTTAGATTTGATTTATATTCTTATTTGATTTTTTGCCTTCTTTTCTCTTTTTAATTTTCCTTTTTATTTGTTTAATATCTTAGCCGCGTTTATAATTTTTTCTTATTTGTGCAGATACGTCTTTCTGTAATTTATCGTTGAAGATCAAATTGATATTGAAGCTCCGTACCTTTCGATCTTCTTTCTCTTTCTTTCTCTCTCGTAATCGAATAAACTCAAGTTGGTCCCACACTTTTTGTCTCTTTTCTTTACACTACAAATGGATATGTATATATGTGCTATCTCTTTTTCCTTTTCTTCCTCTCTGTCTCTCTCTCTCTCACACTCTCTCTCTCTCTTTTTTTCCAAGTGCGTGCGTAACGAAGGTTACGCGCGAAATTTTCCCTAACGACGCGACGAAATAATTCAAGTGATTAAAATATATTTTAAATAATTTATGAAAAAGAAATGAAAATTCCTTCTCGTATACGTACGATGTTGTATAATGTCAACCGATAACTTCGAATCTTACAAAAATGCACAATGTTTTTATGCTTTTTATTCTTTACGACAGTTCACGAATCAAGTCGAGTCGAATCGTGTCGCGTCGTATCGTGTCGTGTCGCGTCGTCTCTTCTCGTCTCGTCTCGTCTCAATAATTTTTTAATGAAAATATACAAATTACTTTTTCTATTCTTTCTTTATGAATTTTTTCTATAACATTGAAACACTTAATTAATAATAAATACTTTTATATAACTCTAAAAAAATAATCGAACGAAACTATCACAGCACTCGGAGTAAAGCCACACGCATTCAACCGGTACTGCACCTTCCCTTCGCGTTGGTAAATTCCAATGTCAAACATTAGAGAAGCACGCAATGCAAGAAACGTTCTTCCTTAAGGCGTATCTCTATAAATGACTACATTTTATTTAAAAACATTTAAAATTGTAATTTAATTTTATCATACCTTTTGTAATTTATAAAATTCATATTTTTTCCTACCAAATTATACCATAAACAAGTTGATAATAATTAGAAGAAAGAAGAAAATGCTAATTTTTTCATATTTGTATGTTTCTATGTACATTGGATATTCGTATCTTTATTTTAACAAGTTTATGGAAATGCAAGAGGCTCAGAAGTGCACGTATGCACTTACATATTATATATATATATATATTTATCTACTTATACGTATCTGCATTTGTGATGCCAGTAGGTTTTGCATACTATATATTATACTTTCTTTATAATTATGTAGAATAATTCATTGATTTACGAATAAAATAATGTGTTGTTGCCATTGCGTTACAACTCATACTGGAGATTTTATTTATATATTGAGTAATTTAGATGGAAACTGCGTAGTTGGTCAATTTTAAGTGGGAAGAGATTAATACGCCAAAATATATACTTATATGCGTATTATTATGCAATCATGGTTTAGATTACTGAGTATATGATTATGTTTAGAAAAGGAACATGTGGATTATAGAATAATATTCCTTTGATTATAAATTGCAACAAAGTGCAATATATTTTTTGTCTTTAATATTAAGTTAATGTTTTTTGTTTAATTATAATTATAAATGACGAATATGTTATGATCTATAAAATGTAATTTTATCGAATATTTTCAAATTTGCCGCCATTATAAAATCGAAATTATTTATATCGATTTTTAATTTTTCATGAAATGCAATTAACAGATTATTTCGTGATAAATCTTGTTAAGATTTTATTGGATTAATGTCGTCACTATGTTACTTTTTTATAAAAGTGCAATTAATTAGTTTGCAATTATTAGTTTTAGTTCTAGATCCGTAATTTATTGATCAAGATCGATCGATTATCGTACTGAATGAGCCATGGTCGCATAGGACATCGCCGTTCGCACTATCTTTAATATGAAAAAAAAAAAAGAAACAGAAGATTTTTAGCGCTAATATCTTTCGATATAATTTTATCGACGTTTGATATTATTTATCATTACCGAAGTAAAAAATTGATGAGACGAGATGAATATTTTTCCGATAGTTAAGTAACATGGTTTCTTGCTTCTTATCATTATCAACATGGCCGTCTTTTGCATTTTTGGTGGTAACAAATACCACGGTACCATACGTCTATAAAAGATTATAATACTGTTTAATTTCTTTTATTATGTCAGAAATAAAAATTATGATAAATGCATATTTGTAAATATATATTTATATATCTAAAAATTAGATGCAGAACAAGTAAAACAATTACATGAAACTTCAATTTTAAAAACCACCCCATATATATATATATATGAAACAGAACTGCAAAAAGAAAAAATTAATTTACGCTTTTTCGAGCACGTTCTCACTGCTATCCAAAACTTTTTGTCCCATTCTACAGGTCAAGTATATCACAAAAATAGAACCAGGAATATACAGAATCAACAAAATGAGTTTATTCTTAGATTGAAAAATATCTGTGGTGGTTTGCAACTAGGATTGAAAATTAAACAAATTTTTTAAACTATTATTTTGGAAACGTTATTAATAATACTTAAACAATAATTACTCACTATAAAAAAGTCTACACCAATGATTAAAACTTCGAAAATCAGTGCTATGAGGAAAAAGTATGTACAAATCGAATTCATACAGTCCATATACCTTTGAGAAAAAGTTAGAATTTAATATTATTTTGGATATCATCGGGAAACAATATTATTAAAGGATCTTATTATTTCAATTTTGGGATTATTTTTATTTAAAATTTTCTTTCTCTCTCTTATTATAATAATATTACTACTGTGTGTGTGTGTGTGTGCTACAGTAATACTAACAGTAGTACTATTATTTAATTACTAAAATGAGAAATTTAAATATTCGTACAATAAAAATTTGAAAATATATGGAGTACTCTAAAAATAATTTAAATTTCTTCTAATGTAATAATTAGTACTATATATATACTATACATAGTAATTATATAAATATTATTTATATATATATATATATACTAACTCAAGAGCTCTTTTATGTAGATTAATATTACTGATTATCCTCTGACGTATTTTCTCATAAATTTTAGATATTGGTGTCTCCTGATTAAATTCATTTTCATCGATCAAATGTTCTAATTTATATCTAAAAGAAATGCAATGTTTAAGCATCCCTTAAGGCAATCGAGAACAATCTCCTATAATACAAAGCAATTTTTGAATAATTCTAATCAATTTTACCCAACGTATTCAAATAATGCGCAACCGTGTTGTACTCCAAAGAAAAGTATATTCAAGGAAGTTATTGTAACACATCCAGTTACAAAGCCAGTTATAAAAATAATAAAAAATTCCAAAAAGAAATATTCATTCGTATCAATGAAAAACAATTCAATAGGAACCACTGACTGACGTGGCCGAGTTTCATTCAAAGGTGAAATAATATCCAAATATACTGGTTTTAATGAAACAAATAGTAATACAAAACATGATAGGCTGTATATTGCTGAAATTTTGATTTACAGTAAAATGAAAATTAATAAATTCTGGAAATATTTAAAAGTAAATATTTACTCTTATGGGATTTTAATGAAATAATTATTAATGATCAATCTACTGTGCTGAATTCATATGATAATCAAAACAAATTATAATGTTTCAGAATGTACATTTTTTAAAAATTTACTTATATATGATAAATTTATTAAATCAATTATTATAATTATATTTCGCAATGAATGATATTTCAAAAAATGTGGGTAATTTTAAAAGTTGTCTCATCCTACCAGTTATTAGAAGAGTGAAATAAGTATTATCTATGACACACTTTCGAAAAATTTTACGTTCTTCCTTATTTTCTAATTTTTTCCAATCAGCGATACAGTGATTGAAAAAATAGATTGTCTGCAAATGGAAAATAATTTTCTTTTTTTATTTAATTTTGAAAATAAAGAAAACAAGAATGTATATGTATTTACCTTTTCAATATTAAAGTATACAGCAAAGTATGGGGTATCCATACCAAGCACTGGCAAAAGATAGGTCATTATTTCAACAATTTTATCCGATTCGTTTGCCGAAGTGAAAAGAGCAAATACCTAATTAACAATATATAAAAATATTTTAAGCAGATGTATAAGAACTGTGATTAAGATTTTTACAAGCTTTTTTTTATAGAATCTAACTTGAAAGACTATCACCTGAATTAAAATCAAACTAGTCAAACATATATTGACGAATAATCTTTTAAATATTTGTCTTTTAGCGCATAATGGTGGCCAACAGCCCATCAAAGATAAAAACAATTTATAACGCCAACAAAGTTGTTCGAAAGTGAACATTGGTTTTATGAATTTTCTAAGACCGATCATTTTGAAAATACCCCACGTTTATTATTTTTTTCTTTCGTTCGTTCGCATGGAATAAATGCGTTTATTCGAATAGTCAATAAATATTATTGTTATAGTTACTTTGAAACATTTCCTGTAAATGAGCAATTTCATATTCACTGTATGTGTTTGAAAGGGTGAATTTATTTTTTTAATCGATTCGTCGCCTTACTCTACCGAGAACGTTTAAGTATAATTATTTTAAATGTTTGTCATTTAACTTACCCTCTCTGGTTTTTTCTTTTATTGTTGGAGGGTGACATGCGCAGTGATATCCCCGGTGAACTCTTGTAATATCATTTCTATCGTGGATTTCTCAATGTAAATACCACTTTTATACATCAGAGATTGTATTTTATTACTTTAAATATTTAGTTAATATAAATCATTTCAATATTCGTTTAAAATAAATTTTGATAAGGATATTAAAGATTTACGAATTCGCGAGTGTGATTTACGATAATTACGAGAACATCTTTTTATTATTATTATTTAAAGGAATGTATTTCCATTTAATTTAGAAAATAATAGTCTTGAAAAAATTTCAAACGTATAATATGTCTGCAAACTTAATAATATCCGTTCATCTTTTGTTGGTCAGGATTTAATTGTTTACTAAAATAATAATTTCAATATAATAATTATATATTATATAAAAGTAAGTAAAATCTATCGTTTATAAAATAGTTAATTATAGGCCCATTAAGACCGTGCTAGTTGTGATAGGGATTTGCGTTGATGCACTTGCTTGTCTTACACTCATTTCCCAAGTATCGAGTAATTGTGACACAGAGAAATGACGTGGAAGTTTAGTAACGCGTGCGTTAAGAGCCTTCTGTACAGCGCAAAGGAACGTTGTGGTATATTCGTGAGACGTCATAACGCAACGCGGTGGTGTTAAAGGATAATCAGCAGGTACAATGACTGATATGGGTGGTACACATGGTAAATGGCGGTCATCCAACCAGCATATTAATTGTATGCATTTAGAACCATTTTGTTGTGCTGGATCCAGACTTACCTGTAAGGATGAGAAATGTAAATTTCCTTATGTTTATGTTGATATACGCACTTTATAGAAATAATTATATAATTACTTTAAATCGTTGATCGAGACGTGCAATTTCTCCTTGTAAAACATCTGGTATTTCACTAGGTGGTTCTTCTATCTTTCTTTTTTTCAGCGGTGGCAAAGTTCTATTTCAGAAAATAAATCAAATATTTTTTTTTCTAAAATTCTATTTCGTATATAAATGATAAATGAACTGACATTAAATATTATTTCCTTACTTAATCTCTGGTCCAAACAATGCTTCTGAACATGGGCCAAAAGTACGCTGTAAAGTATGATTTACTACCGGACTTTGTAAATGAGTGCTTACTGTTTCCAAAAGTGGGCTAAAGAAATGATGTTCTTTCAGAGTAGTCACAGGTGGCCCAACACTACCGTCATTTCTTTTAAAGTCGACTTTTTCTAATACAACTTCACATTTCAGGAGCGTTTCCATTGGCATACGTTTACTGGGCGTCGATAGAATTTCCAATAATCTTTTCATTTTACTCAATTTGTCGACATCTTGATAATTGCAAAGGAAGAAAATATTTTTATATATAAAATCCTAGAATTCATATCGCCAAAATACATTTGATGAGTTTCTTACTTCCATCATTTCCCATTCTAGAAATCATTCTTTTCAATGGTTCTATATATTTACTGAGTTGCCGAACTTTATCTCTGTACGCTTGATCTTCTTGTTGGGGACTAGGCGTTGCACCCACAGCTACTGGAGTATTTAACGAGCTACTCGGAGATGGTGCCATACCTAAAAAAATATTTATTAAACATGTTATTGAAAGAATCTTACTAGAAAATGTGATTATTCTATAATTGCATATACTAACCGACAGATCTTTGTGGTCCAGCTATGATAGGATGTTGTGGACTTGGAGATGGTACTAAAGCTGGAGATGCTACCATTTGATTACTATAAAAAAATATTATTGAATGTATATTAATTAAAAGATTAATTGTTTAGAAAAACTCTGAAATGTGTCATAAAAAAACAAATGTTACCTTGCTGGTGCTGCTAAAGCTGCTGGACTTGGGGCAGATGGAGATGGACTTTGTCTTAAGAATTGGTTTGGAGTAACATTGCGTGGGCCAGGAAATACAGTATTTATTATTTCTCCAGGCTAAAAGAGAGATAGCAAAAATCATATTGTCGTTGAAGTATCAATAAATATTTTTGTAAGTATGTTTCATACTTTTCTTTGCATGTGATTTATTTGTTGCGTTACTTGTGCAGGACCCATTTGGCCAGAAGTAATTTGATTCATTTGCTGAGGCATATTAGTTTGCATACCATTTATAGATCCGCCAATTTGATTAGACATTTGTCCTGATAATTGATTTTGCATTTGATTCTGCCAATGGATTGATATTAATTTAATACTAAATTTGATGCAATTTGATGCAATAATTAATTTAATATTCATTTTACGCAAAGCATATTTACTTGCATATTCTGCTGCATTTGTCCAGTAGCTATTTGATTCATTTGAGTAGGAATCATTTGATTCATTTGCTGGGGCATATTTCCTTGGTTCATTTGATTAATTTGAGTTAAAATTGCACCACTTTGCATACCTTGAATTGCATTCATATGACTCATAGTACCAACAGATTGCATCATACCCATTCCAGACATTTTATTTTGCAAACCAGGCATAGTCATTGGTTGTCCAGGACGTTGATTTAAACTTTGCAAAACTTATTGTGAAAAAAAAATTAAATGCAACCAATTATAAGGTTTGTATAATATAATCATATTGGTAATAATTAAATATAAAAATGAGAATTAAATGTTTATACATTTAAATAAAGAAACAAAATTAAGGAAAGAATAAGAAAATATTGTCTTTGTAATTTATATTATTATTCTTATTCCATGAAATGCGTAAATGCTTCATAAAGAGGTAATTGTAGAAAAACTTCGAATTTAATTCGCAATAAATCCATATAAATTTGTTTAATCTTTTCCGATACTAATTCGTCTTCGAGAAACAGATATTGAAAATTGATACTGTCAATGTCAAGATTTTTATCGAATTTAAACGTAGCAAAAATTGTATCTGTTTTATTTATCTTCTTTATGTTCTTTGGCCATGTTTTGTCCTTGAGTAACATTTTTAGATAAATGAGACGTTGGTCTATTTGAAATTCAATATCTGGATATTTTTTTTCTGCATAATCAATAAATTGGAAAATATATGAATATGCTTCTAGAAAAGCATCTATAGCTTCCCTTATTTTATTCACGATCTTAATTACTTTGGGACTAATTGGATCATCTACCCTGTGTTTAAATATCTGTTTTATATTCAATGCATCGGGTATAAAACTATAACCCACAGAAAAATACCATTTTTGTAATATTTTGCTGTAACGATAAACTATTTTATATTTGAAATATTTTTCATTGTTATCTAATTCAGATTCGTAGATGTAAGTTACAACTTGACTTCTTATTTTAACTCTCATGCCGCATTTTTTTTCGATTCGACTTTCTAAGCCTGATTCCTTAATAATTCGATTTTTCCAATTTTTATAAAAAGATTTTTTCTGTTCTCTTCTTTTTAAGATACTCATTGATAAAATATAAGTTGGAGAGTTTTTCAAAGATTGCAAAACCTCTGGACTATCAGAATCATAACCAGGCTCACTTTCACAAGTTGTTGCATATTGAGCATAGTAATAATTATTAAACTTTAACATTTCTATCAGTTTGAAAATAATCTTGTTTATAATATTATATTCTATTTTGCATTAAATCAACTTTTTAATACAAAGTTAACGTTTCTTCGAAATTATAATTAATACACATTTATAGGTTAAGTTGTAATACATCATTGTATTTTCAATTATAACAACTGTTTTTATATGAGAATCAGTTAGACGTAAATCAATTTGTATATGTACGTTGTGACAATTTTTCTACTTTATCAACAAAGTTTTGAAGAAAAATATTCAAATTATTAAACTGATGTTATTTATTGACTATCGATAAGCTAATTTTCTTTTAAAAAAGCAATTCTGACATAACCCTAATATTAATTAGTAAAATTATTAAATAATTACGATTAGTGGCTGTATTTGTAGAAGATTGTGGTACAATGCCTTGTGGATTAGGCCCAGGTCCACCCATCCCAATCATTTGATTATTGCCTGTTCCTTGTCGTGCTAAAGTTTGCAATGCACCTATCGGATCTGGCATTCCTTGACTGCCATTACTAGCTGATCCAGGTCCGATATTTCCTGTCCCCTTTTTTGTATTATCTATACAAAAGAAATAAAATTTTTAAGTTTCAATATTTTTTTTATTTATTTTTAATACGTTGAACGCGGCGCCAATATTTCTGATCTTTCCGCCCTGCTGGCATTTATTTGGGTGCAAGAAAGCCAAAAATATAACAAAAAAGGTTGTTACATTTTGTTACGTGTGTAAAAGCCATACTTTTGTTTACAATGCTTTAATAAAACTCAATACAACTATATTTGACTACATTTCATTCAGGCGACATTTATCTTTTAACTTTAATACTGTCCGATAACTTTAATACTGAACAAATGTCGGCCGAACGAAAATTCTAACGCCCTGGGGACAGACGAGGTCTCGAATGAAAGTTCAGCGTCGGTCCCTGGGGACAAATGAATATATTATAATGTAATCTACTATAATTACTCATTTCTCTAACATGGAATATAAGTCTTGCAATGAAGCCTAGGTATTCCTCCTGTAACAGACAAAAATGATTATTTATTAATTTACTTATAATATGTCAACTCTGAAAGATCAATGATTATTATATTAATAATATTGAACATAAACTTATACATACCTTGGTTTTTGCTTTCTGATAAACGTGACTTTCCATTTCAACGCTATTCTTTGCCGTAGACACACCAGACATTTGCACAGCTTCATCGCTATGCATTTAAACAGAATAGACATTTAAATATAATAGTTATAACATTTCAAGTGCAATATTTAAAAAAATCTATTTATAATATATAATGTTAAAAAATATGTGGAGAAATTATACGTACAGTTTTGCTACTACACTTTGTCTGAAATTTTGAGTACGCCAGGAATTTTCGTCGGTGGTCATATTTATTTTTTCTTAGTAAGGTTACTTATGAATTATTATTATTATTATTCGGAAATCTATTCAGTATACTTAATAATCGTAATAATTATTTCTTCGATATAGATTTAATAATATTCTATATACGGATAGAACACTCTTATTTCTTGCATAAACGACCACAATGCATTGCAAACGTTTTGCGCGAATATAACATAAATCGATTATAATTATATATACTACATGATGGTTCTCGATATCATGGATGACAATTCACTAAAGACACGTAAACTCCACCTTAATTAAATAGAACGTCAAACTAGCGCCATCTACTCCTGCTCGTGTAAAAGAAAAGAAATAACGCGTAAACCTTGTGTTTACTTTAATGTACAACTTTAATAATCAAAAAAATTGAAGTAAGAGGTTAAAGTCTATTATTATTTATAGAATTTTCATAATAATATTTATAATTTTGTTTCATTAAAACGATACTAATGTCAGCCACGACAATGCATAAATTTATAACATTTCTTGGAGTAATGTCAATGTTGCATGCTGCTTATTCGGCTGCTCAACGTGAGTATTGTCAATTTTTATTATAATATTTGAATTTGTCAATTAATTTATTCATATTTAGGTTAAATTGTCCATATGATTTTATTTTTATAATTCTTTTATTAATTGCTGTCAATATGCATTTATAAATTTTTTATTCTTCTATGATACAATAACATTAATATTTGTAAAGTTATTAAGTTTGACATAATGAAATATTTGTGTTTACAGATAGATCATATTTGCGAATAACTGAGCAAGAATTTACAACTTTGCCAATTGATGTAAGTAGCAAGATTAATGCGTGTAATTTATGTCTAATAAGGTATTAATATGTTAATGAAATGTTTTGGTTGCAGATATTAATACAAGGTATAATAAGTTTATTCATAGTCATGTACGGCGTAATGTACATAGCTGGTGATTTTAAAGAGATACGTGCTGTTGTTGATCTGGAAAATAAATCTTGGGAAACGTTAAGAAATCTTCCATCGTTTCAAACATTTAATCATCGTGGTAAATCACTGTCTCCTGATTTTTTGTAAGAATAATAGAATACACGAATTTAATTCGTTTTCTAGGATGCAATGTCATTTAATTTAAGATAAATAGCTCTTTGTATATTTGTTAAACTTTCAAATCGATTTAACAAAATAAAAGGAAAAAATTAGCGTTAAACACAAAAGTAATACATTTTTACACAGATTACGTTAAATGTTATTAAAAATCATAAAAATAAAATAATACTGAATTTCAATATTCAATGATCTTTCATATTTTTATGATAGTAAACACATACAAAAAAGGTTTAGAGTTTTTAAAAAGTAATGCAGTTTTTTTTCATACAAACACACACGTATATGAACATAAAATTTAATCAAAATGTGGTTCTTTATTGTTAATTATACAAGTGACATTATGAAATGATATTGTATGAATTTCAACAGTATTGCATAGTTTCATTTATGCAATGTTTTAATAAACATACTGAATAATAATAATAAGATTTTCATATATGCATAAATACGGCAGTAAAAGTAGTATCGAAAAAAAAGTTGAATTTCATCTGTTTTTCACCTAATTGGAAAATATTTATTTTATGAGAAAAATACGTAATAATATAATAGTACTGCATTTGAATAAAAGTACATCACTTTTTTTGCTTTTTCTTTTCTGCCTCTGCTTCTTTTTCTTTTTCAATCTCTGTCACATACTGCCCTATGGTGTTAATGTCTAACATCTGTATTGGATAAGATAATATTAATTTACAAGATTGTATGATTATTAAATATCATACCATATAAAAAACTGTATAATTTAATTCAAAGAGGACCTCCATAGGCTTCCCACGTCGCATGACTGCTATTTCTAAATTCTTTTGCCCAGATTGCACCACTTCCAATAAAGCTCTTATAGCTAATTTGATAGATCCTTTTTCTGTAGCTACTTCTTCTGGTGTATAATATTTTTCTAGGAATTCATGCACTGTCTTTGCACTTCTACCTGTTGCATTGGCCTACAAGATAAGAAGATATGTAGAAAACGCAAACGAATAAAAAAGAGAAAAACATTTTAAAAAACAATAATGTGACAGAGTAAGTATCTCAGAAATACCTTCCACTCATAATATATTCCAGATGGTTCTGTTTGATATAAATGTGGTTCACCATCATAATCAAAACCAGCTAAAAGACATGATATACCGAAAGGTCTTCTACCGTTACTCTGTGTATATTTCTGTTTTAAACCTAAGAATAAAATCAAAACAAAATAATCGATAATATTAATACTTTCTAAGTAATAATTTTAATAATAAAGTTGTCCAACATAATGCCTACCTGCAATATACCTAGTAATGTATTCCAATGTAACAGGATCTTCGACAGTTAATCTATGACTTTGGCATTCTATTTGTGCACGATTAATTAATACTCTGGCATCCGCAGTTAATCCTTTAACAAAAGTTTTGATTATTGATTAGTCATCATGACAAAATGTCATCCATTCATTCTATAACAATCGAATCTAAATTACCTGCAAATGCCATAACAACGTGGTCATCCAAAAGACATATTTTACGAACAGTACGTTCTTCTTGCAACTTAGCCACAGATTTTTTTTCTACGCCTAGGACAACAACATCATTTCCTCGTACTCCAACCTAAAGAATTGACATAACGTTAAAAAGTAGTTAATCATAATAGAACAAACTTGTATTTTAAAATAAGAGAACATATAATACAAATAAATAAATTTTTAAGAAGGATTACATTGCATTTTCGAGTAGTAATATTAAGGAGAAGTTAGGTTAACCATTAGTAGCAGACATACCGCTGTTGATCCTTTTTTCACAGCTTCTTGAGCATATTCTACTTGCAGTAAATGTCCATCAGGCGAAAATACTGTTATTGCTCTATCGTACCTAGCTGTCATAATTCGAGTCTTTTTAAATTAACGAGAAATGTTAGAAAATACGAAATGACTTTGCCGTTTTCCTAAAGCTACCGCTTATTCTAACTCAAACTCTCTTCTCATTTACAGTATAAGCAACATAATTCGACGAAATCAAACTCTTGCGCGATTCGTTATAAATTGGTTAAATTCCAAACGCACCAATAAGAAAAGAGAACGGATTATAAAAGACTTTTTTAATCTCGATTTACAACAAATATTTATAATCTTACACAAATAAAATGTAATACTTATTTTATATATATAAGAATAACAAATTAAATTAATTAAATAATTATCATTATGATTTTGTATTTCATAAATCTTGTATTACCGATCGAATGATAAAATAGGTAACTTACTTATCGATAACTGGTTATTACATTGGTAAACAAGATTTTATCAGTAAAAACTATTTTTCCTTACACAAATATTATCAATGAGGAAACAAACTCGTTTAATCTGACCCTTAGCCTATGATAAATACGATAGTGCAAGGCCATAGCAGTGGCTGCCACGTAGCTATAATGCATTTAAATAAGAACATTTCAATTATTTCACAATCGACTTAACAGAAGAACCTGATCAACATGGCAACTATTCGCTTAGGACAAATATTATTTTCTCGCGTTTCTAACACTATTAGAAAACCACAACAATGCTCATCTTTGATCAAATATTATTCTTGTAAGTTGAAAGTAAATACATTCGATTGTTAATATTAAATTCGATATTCGATTATCTCGCAGAGATTAAAATGTAAATTTATTATTATTTTCATTATTAATACTTTTTTTTTTACATATAATTGTTAATATATTTAAT